AGATTCGTTTCAGTCATAGTTTTTCTGAGCCCCCCGCCATGTCTTTTTTAGGCGTCTTCTTCTTCTTTAAACTGGTCTCCACTGCATCACTTTCTTTGGCCATATGTCTCCAGTCATATGCTTTACATGTCCATACCATCACAAACTCTTGGCTTCAATGGTGGGCCATATTCACAGTAGCTTTTTAATATTCTATCACTTGCCATACCTCTGCTTGCGATGGTTTCGACTATAGTCCTGTAGATTCTGTTTTTTGTATCTTGTCTAATTTGTGTGTTCCACAGCTAGCAACTTGATACATGGCTTGTCACCTGCATACCTTGTCGAATTCGTTTCTTAATTTCAATCTCACTAGAGCTTTCTTTACTAACTGTAACTCCAAGATAGTTGTATGACTCATCATTCCTAATTTCATAGTAATCTAGCACTAGATTATTGCGATCTGCTTTTCCAACAACTGGGATACTGACATAATAATCGTCAAACACCAAGCCTTATACCATTCATATAATTTTCTTATCATATCATCCTTATCCACAGCTAATATAGCCTGGTCATGAACAAATTGCAAAGTAAAAAGCACGTATTTAGGCCAGGTGAACACACACATTTTTTGCCACAAATTTCTTGATAATGTGATAACAATTTTTGGTATTTTACCCCTGTATGGTTACCGTGTGCATGTAGAAAATTTAATCGTTTATCTCAGAAAAAAAATTTGTGTTTTTCATAGTGATGGTCATTTACAGTTTAATATAATTTTTGTATGTTTTAGGTTATGGATTTTCTGAAGCTGCTGAAGTATCTGGACTTGGTGCACCCCACGTGGCCGTTATTATGAAGAACCTCATGACCCGATTAGGATTTCAGAAGTACTACCTTCAGGGAGGTGATTGGGGTGGCATAATACTCTCCAACTTAGCCTCTTTATTCCCAGAAAAAGTATTGGGACTACATTCCAATATTTGCTTTGTCAATAGTCCTCTTGCTAATCTAAAATTAGCACTGGGTAGTTTTATGCCATCTTTGGTTGTTGAAGCTGATAAGCAACATCTTGTTTATCCCCGAATGAAAGTTTTTGGATTCCTTTTACTGGAAAGTGGTTATATGCATCTTCAGGCGACTAAACCGGATACCGTTGGTAAGATTCAACATAATAATTATATCAAATAGCAATAATGTTTTCTGATAATGTTTTTCTATATAAAGTAAAATGTGTTCAACTTCTAGTTTTAGTAGTGGCTTGTCTGTAACATATGAAATAAGAAGGTTTGATTCGTTAAAAGGTTTTATTTGTTTACAGAGCAACATAATGACTGTATTCCATCTTGAAATAATTGTTTAAATAAATGAGAAACTATAATCTTTACTTATTCAACTAGAAATATCATAAATTGTAATTATCCCTTCATTATTCGACTGCATCATTCACTAATATCTGCATCTAGTAGGTGTAGTGTGTTAAAAATTATTGGACATAAATTTAATTTCGGCGCCAGTAAGAACAGTTTCAAATTATGTAAGAGATTCCCGTTTCTCTACAATCACCAAAACGGAATATTCAATTGAACGTTTTTCTGTATGTCTACAGATCTACTCAAACAACTATGCCGTCATCCAGCCAATTCCATAGACTTTGCCTTTTACATAATCCCAAGACCATAAGTTTGAGGGATTAAATCCGGAAAAGTAGGTGGCCATTTAATAAAACTCCTCCTACATATCCATCAATTTAAGAATATGTTTTGAAGATAATTACGCATATCAAAATGAGGGGGCCCATCTTGTTGAGACCAAATGTTATTACACGGTACACCTGGATCATCTTCATTAAGGAACTTGATTGAAAAGGTCAAAACGTAAAAAGTTTAAGTAAACATCTGCATTTTATTTCAAATTGTCATCGAAAAAATATAGAGATACAACTCTCCGATTTCCAACAATCATAGCCCAAATATTAACTTTTTATTGAATTCGTGCATGATCTGTAAATCAATGTGAATTTTCGTTTTATCAACGGTTCGGTTTAAACAAAATGGTGCTTTGTTAGAAAACAGGATGCAGTTTCTTTTACAAGCTTTGCAATCGTTTCACAAAACTCCACTTTTCTGTCGGTGTCATCTAGCCATAGGTATTATGTGATACTAACTGACGGAATTCAAATTTGTTATTAAATAAATAATTCGCACACTTCTTGTTGGCTAAGAAATTTGTATCAAATCTCCTGATAACTCAATTTACCTACAGTTGTTCTATTAATCCTCGGTTCTGGATATTTGTTATTAAATAATTCGCTTACTTCTTGTTGGCTGTGCAATTTGTCACCACAAAAAATCACAATCAAAATTTGTACTCTTTGTCTCTCATTTAAACGCGCAACCAGTTTTAGAAAATTGCTTTACTGCAGATAGTTTATGCCAAATAAATACCAGCTATTTTACAATTTTTATAATCTTTTGTTGCATACCTTTTTTATAATTCAAAAGATAAATAGGTGACAAATATACGGGAACAACACTGATATACTCAGTGGCAAAGTTTGCAATGCTTGAACAGAAGTTTTTACATATTTCCTCGAATATTTCATAAAGTAAGTGTAAAAAAAGTATATACTGTGATAACTTCTAAGAAAAAATTGTATGTGCAACAAAAAAATTATAGTTTGAACTTTCAACCTGTTTTTATCCACAGTCAAAAGAAACCAACATCACATACACAACCTGTTTTTGCATTTTTTCCAAACTCTATCAGGAACAAAATTATGAATTTTGTACGTTACTTTTGGGACACGCTGTATATATATATATATATAATCATATATATATATATATATATATATATATATATATATATATTTTTATTTATATATATATTTATTGTTATGATATGTAAAATCGAGAAAATATTGGTTTTTGTATAAAAATATCAAATTCAAAGTTCAAAAACAATTAAAATAATTCAGGATAAGTAGGATTAATAAACCAACAAACATTCGAAGAAGGAAAGTTTGTAAAATTCTTGGATTTACCTGTATTAAATCAAAATGTAAAGCTATGCATTAATACTTATTTACTTTGTTATTACTATACTATGAGTGACTCCGCATAATTTCCTACAGTGAAATCCTACAAGAGACAATATGCAACCGGGTTTTTCCAAAATAACATTTAATGCAGTGATAAAGGACATTAGGAATGAGATTTTAGGATAGAGGTTTTTGTTAGTTTTAAGAATTGTAGAAAAAATATTAAGACTTTGTAAAATAAGTTTATAGGGAAACGTTTATCATTATACGGTAAAAATTTGTGTTGTTATCGAAATGAAAAAATGGATGGGAATTGTGACGAGGCTTTGATTGGCGGATGATTGAAAAAGGTGGGATAGGTATGCTGTAGGAATGAATGTTTACGCTAGATTTTTGAGTGACGAGAGAATGATAGTCAAGTTGGTTTCACAACGGGCTGCAAGGCGCGAACGAGCCTGATTGTTCTCGGCGTTGTTCCCGAGAAGTGAGGAAGCAGTAGCAGTTGCTTTTAAAGGGAGTATCATTAAGGACGTATTACTAGCAACAAGTTGTTGTAAGATTGCTGATTACCTTGTAAGTAGTTTCATGGATCAAGGATTTGGACCACTCATCATCAGCGTAGAGATAGTTTTGTTTTTCTGCAGTTCTTTCATTGTCATTGATAAACACAATTTTTAACTACTTAACTTAGAAAGGATATAAAATCATTATTGTATTTCAGGAGAGTTAGAATAGTATTGGGATTTTGAGATTTCAATCTAATATGGTTCAGTACCATTAATTTTGAAGGTTCACGTACGTAGAACCATAAATTTTGAGAATCATTATATGAGATTTTGTTGATTGAATAACATTTGAGTGTGAATTATTGCATTTATTTTTTATTCTCATTATATAAAGTGTTATCATTTCATATGTGATTTTTGATTTGATTCGGTATTGCTTTGGCACCTTAAACTTTCACAATTTGTAATAGCATAGATATTGAAGCACGAATTGTAACCTCTGAGATAAGAGAATTAAAAAGTGTGATAGAGTCATAATCAACTATCATATAAATAATTTTATATTAATCAAAAATATGTAATTAGGCTTAGATTAATTGCTTGGCGCAACCACATAGACTTTAAATATCACAATAAATATATATATTAAATCTAGAGTTAAGATTAATATTATTACTAAAATTAATATCAAACTCACCAGTCTTCCGGGTTGAACCGCGTCGATGTCCTTTTTGCCAAGTCTTTCAGGCAATCCTCTCTGATTGCCTTCCTCAGGGCTTCCGAGGTTCAGTCTCCCGAGCCCCAGACACTACTACACTGTTATTCAACGAATTTTATATTATATATTATATAATTCGGACCTATTACTAATGTTCTATAAGAAAGCTTATTCTCGGAAAAGTAAAAAAATATGTCGTATTTTCATCGTAAGACAAAATTCCAAAACGATATTTATAATTCACATTTCCAATTCCAGGTAGTCCGCCTCTACGTTGGACAGTCCTTGTAGGTCTTGCTGCATAACGATCATAGAAGAAGTTCACCACATGGAACCAATCCAGCATGGAAAGACTTAGACGACGGGAGGGATTGGACCAAGAATTTTACTTGGAAAAGTTGTTGGACACTAGTTATGGTAATAACTGGGTTACCAGATCTATCACTACCTCAGTGAGGTTGTATGCGGAAACATTTAATTCTGATATATTCGCCTTGAACGTTGATGGGTAATTTTTAAACTTTTTAACAATTTATTTAAAGTTTTTGGACTTTTGCCATCTATTTGAAATGGAGCATTTAGTTCCGCTTGAAGTAAAACAGCAAATTTTCTTGGTAACACGTATTTTACCGAATATTACTTGCTGTCGAAAACAGGTAATCTATTACTATCTACGATCTACAAATATCTACAAAAAATTATTGAAATTTCTTGCCAAAAACTTTATTATAATAATATTCTTACTTTTTAGTGTTCCTATCGATGTCCCCAGCGCATGCTCTCAATTTGAACACGAGATTACATATATACCAGAATCAATTCTAAAGGAAAGGTATCGCAACTTATTGTTAACAAACGTGCATACAGACGGTGGCCACTTCGCTGCTTTTGAAGTTCCAAATCTTCTTGCCAAAGACTCTTACGATTTTGTTGAGAGAGTTCAAGATTTCGAAAAGCAAAAACACAAAAAATAATTTTATGTATATATGTTTTTATTATAAATAAATTTTCATAAAAGTAGTGTTTTTTTTTTGTTTGTTTATGTTGTGGTCAATTAAGAAACTAAAAATGATTACGCTAAGCAACAGATTATTGTAAGTTAGAAAGTCTGGCAACTGAACGTTGTATTGGAATGGGCGGCCATATAGAACGTTTTCTCAGAGAGAAACTTTTATTTTCGCTATTTCTGTTTATCAAGTTTATCGAATACTCCCTCACGGCCTATCCAAAGAGTACCACAAATCCCATAATCATTAACAAATTATATCAAGAACGGATATTAGAATACACTGGCCATAACAAGATTTTTACCGATGCGTCAAGAACTGAAAACGGACACGCAGCGGCCTTTATTCTAGGAAAGTCTGAATATGCAGTCATGCAAGCTCAGCTTTTTTTAACATTACTGACATCATTTATCTAGTTCTTCAGAGCTTAAGGCAATATATCCAGTACATGCTATCCTGCAACAAATACAATTAGCACTTTATCACCTACAAAACAGACACGTGAACGTTATATTTCTCTGGGTACCATCACATACAGGTATCGCAGGAAATGAAAAAGTAGATGAATTAGCAAAGAAAGCTGCTACTGACGAGCAAACTGAAATTAAGACTACAATTCCATTCAGTGATATCCAGCTCAATATTAAACAGCACTGTGTAAAAAATTGGCAACAAATGTGGAATTCTAATAAGGCTAACCTTAAAAACGTGAAAAACTCGGATTGGCACTAAACTACAATTTCCAGAAAACAGAAGGCAACAAGTGATTATAAACCGACTAAGAATTGGACATACAGCGTTAACTCACCAGCATCTCATAACACAAGAACTACCACCTGAATGTTCCTATTGTGAATGTCCAATAACTGTTCAACATGTATTGATTGAATGTCCTTTTTATTCCTACGAAAGAGCCATCAACAACGTACCAGAAGAAGCAAAGAAACTTAAAGATATTTTAAACAGTAATGTATCTAATACAATCAAATTCCTTAACGACATACGTTTACTACACAAAATTTAAGTTATATTATATGTATCTTTTTGTAATTATGTAATTTATTATGTGTAATTTAATACGCAATTTGTAATTAGTAAATTTGTATTTGTAATAACAACTGTAAAATCTGTAAAACCCGCTAATAACCTTTAATGGATTGATGCGGAAATTCTAAATAATGAAAAAAAAAAAAGTTTGTTGAATACACATAATTGCTTCCTCTACACATCGGCAGACGGCGTTCCGCGGACGACATCTACGTATGCATCTGGAGATGTGTAGATGGGGTAATTTGATCATCTGTTGTTTATATATCAGGTCTGCGGATGCGTCTGCAAGATATCCGATTGTTGTCGGTTTTTTTAGCACAGATCAAAGGATGTCGGTGCGGACGTTCGACGCCTTCTACACATCTGACCTCTGACTTCTTCTTTTCCGTTTTTTAATGATTCTATTCCAATGTACACTAAAGTAGTAGTTGAACGTTCTAAATATGCATATAGCTGCGGCAGCTATAGTCTCGACATCAACATCCATCACTACTAAAATAGGTCAATTTAATACATTTATCAGAATAGAAGCCAATGTCCAAATATATGTAGTTTTCAAAGTTATTTTTATCATAATTGGCTAGTCCATTTGATAAAAATGAAAAAAGACCAACGTAAATCTCACTGGAGTTTGACCCTTTAATTATTATTTTAAACAAGGCCAATGTCCAGTTTCCTATCAGAAAAATTAGTACATCGTAAAAGGAATGAGGCCCACATATGCCCTCTGCATAAAAAAGGAGACAAACGGAAGTGTGACAACTATAGAGGTATAGCCTTACTAGACACGGTATACAAAATCTTGGCAAGAATATTGAGAAATAAACTAAATTGCTACACGGAAAGAATCCTACATGAATATCAGGCCGGCTTTAGAAAGGACAGATCTACTGTAGACCAAATCTTCTCATTAAAGGAGATGCAAACGACTTGTTATGAAGGTAAAGTTCCCCTGCATGTTTTTTTTGTGGATTTTAGACAAGCATATGATAGAGTCGATAGAGTCAAAATGTATCGAGCAATGGAACATTTGGGTATACCAAAGAAACTGATCCGGCTAGTAAAAATGACATTAAATAACTCTAAGTGTGAAATTACTTGGCAGGGTCACATATCAGATCAAGTTACGGTTGCAAAAGGCTTGAGACAGGGAGATCCTTTATCCACTACATTATTCAAGTTAGTGTTAGAAACTGTAATCAGAAAATGCAGCATGAAGGTGAAAGAAACAATCATGATAATGAGCACCAGTGCTTGGCATTTGCTGACGATTTAACGATCCTAGCAAAAACAGAGAAAGAATTAAGAAGAGTTGTGAAGAAAATCATCGAAGAAGCACAGAAATTCGGATTGGAACTAAATGAAGACAAAACCAAATATATGATCATGGGAGGGACAGAAGGGAAAAAAGAAGACTTTAGTGTGAGGTCTGTAAGTGGTAAAAGCTATAGTTTTAAAAGGGTGGACAAATTTGAATACTTGGGTGTAGTTTTCGATGAAAATGGAAAAGAGAAATGGGAGCTCGAAGCCAGAATAGCAAAAGGGAATACAAAATTAGGTAGTTTAAGAGCCCTACTGAACTCAAAATACGTTTCTAGACAAGGTAAACTCAGAATATATAAAACAGTAATTCGACCCACAGTAACATATGCCGGTGAGACATGGATATTAAATAAGAAGGAAGAGGATACTCTGGAAAGATGGGAAAGGAAAATATTGAGACGCATATTCGGAGGACGGAAGACAGAAGATGGTTGGGAGAGAAGAACCAACAATGAATAAATGGCTTTATACAAAGAACCTACCATTACCAAGTTCGTCAAGTCACAAAGAATCAGATGGTTGGGACATGTGGAAAGAATGGCAGCAAACAGAATGCCCAAACTAGTAATAACCAGAAAACTAATCGGCCCCAAAAGAAGAGGTAGACCCAGAACGAGGTGGATTAGTAAAGTGGAGGAAGACCTTAAACACGTGAAGGTGAGGGACTGGAGAAGAAAAGCACAAAATAGAAGCGAATGGAGAAATATTGTCCACCAGGTCCTTTAGAGTAGTTAAAAATGTTGTATATACATATTTAAGTTAAAGTTTTGTTTAAAATAGTTGAAATTAGTTAAGATTATCTGTAAAAAGAATGCTCTAGGCCTTAACGGCCTGTTATGCGTAAAAATAAATAAATAGAAGGAATGATGATGGCGAAGCTGTGCCGTGGATGCAAATAAAGTGGTTAAAATACACCCAAGAACATGAGTTCCAATGCTTTTACAAAAAAAGTTTTGCAGATGATGAAGATTTAAAAAAATTAATTTAAAGAGGGGTTGTACTAGAAATCAAAGAAACAAATGGAAATTAAGCAACCAGAACCCATTAAGTCAGAACTTTGCCTCTAGCCGACATTAAAGTAAAAAAATTGTTGGATTGACTACCTTACTTTAGTGAATACAACAGGCCATTTTATCAAAATCTTCAAAAATCAAATGACATCGATGCTGACACTATTTCAGAGGATTTAATTTAATTTCTTTTGTATTTTAAAAAATAAAGAATTTTCTTCTAAATCATATTATTTTACTGCTCTGTTGCAGGGCCGATGTCCCTATCCGGCAAAATCTGCACAAGGCCAATGTCCATGTTTTTCTAGATATAAAGAAAAATAATATTCAGTGCAATGAAGCTTGACATTATGTTAATACATATTTAAAATAAACACCACAATATTTTATAAACTGATCAAATATTTGAATAAACAACATACTCCAAACCTGTTAACCCTATTTTCACAAAACAGTAAAAATGGACATTGGCCCTTTTTCTATTAAGGTACAGAAATGCTTGTGTTTAAAATTTTATAGTCGTCTATAGATTAAAACGAGCATTTGCAAATGGAAAGTTTTAATAGGAATTAATGAATACTCACTCGCATTGTTCATAATTATTTTTCAATGAAGATGACTGCAACATTAAGTTTATTTGGGCTAATAGTGAGAGATATAGGATTCTTTGTGTTGTATGTTTTCGACAATGAATCTGTCAAAATATTCTTAATCTGCGGGAAAGGACTGCGCGTTTATTTTTCCAAACGTCGTTGGAGCGACGAGACAAACGAAATAATAATATCTTCTAAGAATTATCCGCCACCGGATTTGAAATTAACTGTAGCTTTTTGGAGTAAGTATTTATAAAAAGTTTAAAAAATCAATTTGAAAATCTTCTTCTTTTTCTTCAAGTTCCGCTACTATCGGAGATTGGAAATCATTCTGGCAATTATAATTTTGTTGGTTACGCGCCTGAATAGTTCAATTGAACTGCATCCAAACCATTCACGGAGATTGAGTAGCCACGAGATTTTACGTCTTCCTACGCTTCTTCTGCCTTTGATTTTATCCTGCATTATATTCCTTAGTAGTTCGTATTTTTCACCTCTCATGATGTGCCCCAAGTATTCCAATTTCCTGATATTTATGGAATTTAAAACTTCGCATTGTTTTCCTAGTTGTTCGAGAACTTGTTCGTTTGTTTTGCGATCCATCCATGATATTTTCAAAATACGTCGGTAACACCACATTTCGAATGCTTCTAGGTTTTTAATGTTGGATTTTTTAAGTGTACAAGCTTCAACCCCATACAAAAGGGTAGAGAAAATATAACATCGAAGCATTCTTATCCGGAGCGATATATTGATATCGCGATTACAAAAAAGTTTTCTTATTCTATTAAAAGTTGACCGTTCAATTTCAATGCGGCATCTTATTTCTTTTGTCTGATCAGTATATTCTGTGATCCATGCTCCAAGGTATTTGTACGAAGATATTTATTCAATTTCTGTATTATCTAGTACTAGTTTTGATGTTTTGTACTTATGTAAATACCATGAACTTTTTTTCTTCAAATTTATTTTTAGTCCATAATCGTTGCAATATATATTTAGCTGTTCAGCAAGGTGTTGCAGTTCTTCTAGTGTTC